GGTTGCCAGTTTTCTTCTGTTGGCTCTCCGGGAAGCCAGTTTGGTTCCAAAGCCCCTGAGAGTAGCCTGGCTCCTTCTTTCGCACACACCCATTGCATCACAATAAAATGCCGCCTAATTACTGCCTTTGTGGGGTCCCAGAGGCTGGGTATTTGTCTCCAGGCTATGCTGTGGACTATAAACTCTTCTCAGATGAGAGATAAACCGCTTCATTATTGAAATCTCCAGGTCTTGTAGCAGGAGTTTCCTCCTACGAAATCGTTTCCAGTCTTGGGAGAGAATCGATCAAATGAGACCATGTCATTCATCTCGAAGTAATTTCCAGTGGGATCAGCTTAAGAGAAATGTCCGTTGCTTGTGGTGCCCAGATCTAAAGAGGGATTCTCCCCCAAATCGAATCCTTTTCTTGATTTTGTTTCCTCATTTCTGGTACGAGGAGGGAGTTCATAGGTGAGTAGTCCTTGACATGGGAACATACTGTGGAATGTTTTGGGGAGGCAGATTTTAGTAGAGAAACAGTGACGAGGACGGGGGCTCTGTACTGCCTGGGCTCCTTTCTCCTGACAGTGGCTGCAGAAAGGAGGTCAGTTGCATAGGTGATGGAAGGACCCTAGGATCTTTGTGCTTCAAGGTCCAACGCCTGGACCTCTTTCCCAAGCGACCCTCGGACCCACTCTGCTTAGGTACCGCCATCTCTGGAGCACATCCGTAGTCTCTACAGCAGTGCTTCCCGATCTTAGCTGCAAACTGGAACCACTTGGGGACCGTCAAAAAATCCTGATGCCCAGTCCCATCTCCACTACCACCCACCCCCATTAAAATTTTCATTGGTCACAGTGGGGTCGAGGCAGGCGCGTATTTAACGTGCTCTGGGTGACGCTAACGTGCTACAACGTTGAGAATTTGCTGCCCTAAAGTCCCTCGGAGAAGAAAGCTTCTCCTCCCCCATCGGCCTGCTGCAGGTGCACCTGTGGGGGACGGGGGCCGCAGGGGTGTCACAAAGGCAATATATGCTGCAAAATTATTGAATGACTGCAGTAAAAGGCACTGTAACAAGTATTCTCATTATTTTGCTGAGATTACCAAACCAGTTATAAAGCACTTTCACACCTACCCCGGGTTCTGTCCCCATAAGCATCCCCTACCCCCCGCCCCAGGCAGATAGGGAAGGTATTACTATGTGCATTTTTTGTAGATGAGGAAATGTGGCTCAAAAAGGCCGAATGACATTCCAAGATGACACAGCTGAGCAGCTGGCAGTGCTGGGGTTAGAATCCAGCCTTCTGATTGCGGTTCCCTTGTAACAGATCAATAGTATTATGAATTAGAATTCCATACAATTCTAGTTACGTAACTCACTGTGTGACCCAGAGACCGTCACTTAACCTCTCAGTTTCCTCATCTATAAAATGGGATAATACTTGGACCTCCCTCACAGGGCTGCTCTGGGATCAAAGGAGATAATGCTACTTTTTTTTTAATCTGAGAGAGAGAGAGAGAGAAAGTGTGGGCACAAGCGTAATTGGGGGGAGAGGCAAAGACAGAGACAAAGGGAGGGGGACAGAGGGTCCAAAGCAGGCTCTGAGCTGACAGCAGAGAGCCCGACATGGGGCTTGAACTCATGAACTGTGAGCCGAAGTTGGATGCTTAACCGACTGGGCCACCCAGGCATCCCTGCATCTGGGATTTTAAATTAACCCCAAAGCGTAAGTTGTTGCCTTGTAATATTTTATTCTTTTCCGTGTCGTCTGTGTATGTTTTTGGCCTGATTTATTCATGAATTCACCAGCCAGGAATCCAGAACTGACCTGAGAAGACCAGGTTTCCCAGAGTCAAAGAAGTGTCTGGAAGTGAGACACTGCATCCATTTTGGATTCACACTTCCCCTCCTGCTGAACTCCTGAATTTTCTGGCTCATGAAGGCAGCTGCAGCAGCTGCTGTGTGTGTCCTTAACCACCCTCGAAGTCTGTAACACGTCATATTACCTCATTTTGGCTCCCTGGGCCTGTTTTGAAAGGCCCTGAATTAGTCACGTGGGGTACTTGATCCAAAATCACATGGCTGTTTGGGGCGCCTGGGTGGCTCAGTCGGTTGGGCGGCCCACTTTGGCTCAGGTCATGATCTCGCGGTCCGTCAGTTCGAGCCCCGCGTCGGGCTCTGTGCTGACCGCTCAGAGCCTGGGGCCTGTTTCAGATTCTGTGCCTCCCTCTTTCTCTTCCCCTTCCCTGCTTGGTCTCTCTCTCTCTCTCTCAAAGATGAGAAACATTAAAAAAAATTTGAAAAAAAAATCACATGGATAGCGCTCTATTCCGTTGCTCTACACTGGGTCTCACTGTCGGAGAATAAGCCCGGGTTAGGAGAGAGACGTCTGAGGGACGTCTGAGGTTTCTCGTAGGAGATGAAACAGGAAATCGGTTAAGAGAAGGGATGCAAGAAATGGGGTCTTTCAATGCCACCTAACACCACTCAATCCATTGTCAGTGAGACACTTGATGGCACTTAGTTGTAGATATAAAGACTCTCCTTATTTATAAACTCTGGTCATTTATACCTTTTTTAAAATTCATCACTGTCAACTTCTGCTATCTTTTTCATGATTCTCTCTAGCACCACACTTACATAGAATAGATTTTCAGTAAATGTTGTCAGCAACTTCTTTCCCTGTGACATTCATTCATTTACTTATTCACGCAAGAAACATTTATTAGGTTTTGACTTTATGTCAGGCACCACGCAAGGGCTGAGGATATGTCAACCTTAGTCATAGTCCCCATTCTCAAGGAAGTGGCTTAGGGGGGAGCAGAGATGAACAGAGGAGAAGAATCAGCCTAAGTGCTATGATGGGGGAGACGTAGAGTGTTATGGGGCTCACGGAAAGGGACTGGGCACCAAGGAATGGGTTCCAGAAGCAATGCCTGAGCTGATTCTTGAAAAGCATGGCGGGGCTGGGAAGGTGAGAAGGCCAGTTGGGAAAGGTGGTTATAGACGGAAGGAGGAGGTATATAGGTCCGGAGCAGGAGGGGTTTGGAGTGCAGGGAGAAAGCAAACAGGTCACCACCCCATAGGCCTGTGTTTGCCCACATCCATTAGTAGTTCATGAATTCGATGTAAAGAGATAGAATAGGAAATATCAGAGTAGTAGTAAGAGTGTGTTTTGCTTCATGAAACTTACATGTGTTGGAGATACACGTTTGAGTGTGTGTGTGTGTGTGTGTGTGTGTGTGTGTGTGTGATGTGCATGTATATGTATGTCTGTACTGAGTACAGGGATTTATCGTTAAAAAAAAGTTTGAGGAACTCTACTGTAGGCTGGAAGTGCCACTGGTTTCTACACCGAGGGATGACATGATTAAATTTGCATTTTAGTATCATTATTCTAGCCGCGGTATGTAGAATGGACTTGAGGGGCTGGAATACAACATAGCGGCAGGTGTTAGAGCAGCTATCTTGTAGGATGAGATAGGATCCACATGTTGTAAATGGCAGATGAATAGATAAAAGGAGCACGGGTCTCTGATGATTGTGAACTACCATACCAGCCCCGTACATGTATCCGGACCTCCAAATGAGGGAGAAATAAATCTCTAGTCTAGTTGAGCCCACCATTATTTGGGTTTGTAATGACAGGCTAACCCATATTCTTTTTTATTTTTATGTTTTTTACTTTTTACTTAAATTTTAATTGTTAACATGCAGTGCAATATTGATTTCAGAAGTAGCATTCAGTGATTCGTCACTGACGTACGACACTGAGTGCTCATCATAACAAGTGCCTTATTTATTTACTTATTGAAAGTTTCTTTATCTATTTCGAGACAGAGAGAACACGCATACTTGTGAGCAGGGAAGGGAAGAGGGAGAGCAAGCAGGCTCTACACTGAGCGTGGGGCTCAATCTCACAAAATGTGAGATCATGACCTAAGTTAAAATCAAGAGTTGGATGCTTACCCTTAAGACTGAGCCCCGCCCAGGCATCCACAAGTGCCTTCCTTAATACCCATTACCCATCTAGCCCATCTCCCACCCACCTGCCTCCATCATCCCTCAGTTGGTTTCTATAGTCAAGAGTCTCCTGTGGTTTATTTCCCTCTCTCCTCTTCCCCACCCCCTTCCCATATGTTCATTTGTTTTGTTTCTTAAATTCTACACTTGAGTGAAATCATATGGTACTTGTCTTTCTCTGATTGACTTATTTCGCTTAGCATGATACATTCTAGCTCCATCCATGTCGTTGCAAATGGCAAGATTTCATTCTTTTTGATGGCTGAGTAATATTCAATCATATATACACCACATCCTCTCTATCCATCACTTGATGGACATCTGGGCTCTTTCCATAGTTTGGCTATTGTTGATAATGCTGCTATAAACATCAGAATGCATGTGCCCCTTCAAATCTGTATTTTTGTATCCTATGGGTAAATACCTAGTAGTGCAATTGCTGGATCGTAGGGTAGTTCTAGTTTTAGGTTTTTTGTTTTTTTTTTTTTTTTTTTTAATGTTTATTTAGTTTTGAGAGAGAGAGACAGAGAGGAAGCAAAGGGCAGAGAGAGGAGACACAGAATCCAAAGCAGGTTCCAGGCTCTGAGCTGTCAGCACAGAGTCTGAAGTGGGGCTCTAACTCACGAACTGCGAGATCGTGACCTGAACCGACTGAGCCACCCAGGCACCCCTATTTGTAGTTTTTTGGGGAACCTCCATATTGCTCTCCAGAGTGGCTGCACCAGTTGGCATTCCCACCAAAGGTGCAACAGAGGGTTCCCCTTTCTCCACTTCCTTGCCAACATCTGTTGTTTCTTTTGCTGTTAATTGACAGGCTAACCAATATTCTTAACTATTATGCCTGCCTACGACAGATGAACTCTAAGATGGCCCATGATAATCCCTACCTCCTGACATTCACACGTCTGGGTAATCCCTCCCCTTGATCATGGGGTGGGACCTGTGACTTGCTTCTAACCAATAGAATACGCAAGATGAGTAGGTTAATATTCAAGAATACTATCCATGAATATTATTATCCATGAAGAGATAGTACTGAAGATTCTGACCATCAAGTCTTGCTTTCAAAGTCTCCCCTCTGCTGGTTTTGACAAAGCAAGTCGGTATGTTATGAGCTGTCCTGTGAAAAGGCTCGGATAGCAGACAACTGAAGGTAGCCTCTGGCCGACAGCCAGCAAGGAATTAAGGCTCTCAGTCCAACTGCCTGCAAAGAGCTGAATCCTGCCAACAACCAAGTGAGCTTGGAAGTGGGTTTTTCCCAGCCAAGAGAGCTCTTCCCAGAAGAGACCCCAGCCCTGGCCAACACCTTGATTGAAGCCTCATGAGACACTCTGAAGTAGAGGACCCAGATGAACCGTGCCTGGATTCCTGACCCACAGAGAAGTGTGTTGTCTTGACCTAAAACTGAGTTGGGAATAGCAGAGGGATACAACTTGGGCAATGCAAGCTCTAGGCTGGTCCAGTGAGCATCAAGGGAGAATATTTAAATATTTATGGCCAAGGAGTGCAATGAAGGGGAGGTTGAGTCAGAGTCCGAGCAGTAAGTTTACTGGCTTGAGAAAGGGGAGAGATTCTTGTTGGATGTTCATTGGTGAGGCAGTGAGTCTTGGTCTTGGGTAAATCGGGCATTTAATGGAAATCAGTCTCTTGGTTCTTAAGTTCCATTCTTCAGAGGGTACATTCTTGAGATTCCACATTTCATATCTTCTGGTTCCATTTAAGATTGAAATCCTTTCACTCTAGGAATGAAATTGGATATATAGCTGAAGCAGTTTCTTTCTTTCTTTTTTTAAGTTTCTTTATTTTGGGGGGGGCACGTGAGCAGGGGAGGGGCAGAGAGAGAGGGGAGAGAAAGAATCCCAAGCAGGGCCTGCACTATCAGCGCAGAGAGTCTGATGTGGGACTCGAACTCACAAACCACGAGATCACAACCTGAGCGGAAACCAAGAGTTGGAGGCGTAACAGACCGAGCCACCCAGGCACCCCATGACTGAAGCAGTTTCTAAGCCAAGTGTTGCAGAAGCAGACTGGTTCTTCCTGACGGCTCACAGTAAAATTCAACAAGAGAGAAATGACTTAACGATGGAACTGTTAATAAAAAAAGCAATCAGAACTTAAATATTTGGGCAGTTCTCCATCTGTTCCTGTCGAAAAGAAGGAGAAAGCCTGTTTGCGAGAGAACGGTAGGGCGCCGCAAAGTGACCATTGGATAAGGAGATCCGCCATGTTGGCAGAAGCCAGGTGCTTTTCTCCAAGACGCTGCGGGAATGACGAAGGTGATTCAGAATCCTCAGGCCTACCATTCCCACACAGGCCCAGAGTGGGAGGGCAGGGAGGGGCAGTTTCAAAAGAGGGGTTGCTGGAACTTTCAGGAGGCTCGGTGTGGGCTGCTGGGCACTGCCTCACTTCACGCCGTGTGATGGCCACCACACTCCCCAACCGTGCTCCTCAGCCGGCTGCCTCAGGTAAGCAGCCAGTGGGCCCAGGTGCAGTGTGGGCTAAATGGTTGCTCCCTCACACAACCCCCCCCCCCCACAGCCTGCGTGCCCCGAAAGGGAGAGTAGTATCTGCACTGCCTCCAGTGTGTACAATCACTGGGGACATGGCTGCCTTCACCTATATTTCAAAGGATAGGACCCTGGAGCCATAAGAGTGGTGCCCAGGGGAGTCATGGCAGGTGAGGCCATCCAAAGCCATGGGGGCAGAGCCGTTGGAAGCTTTGGGAGCCATTTTCTGCCCAAAAAAGCTGGGAGGCCAGGACCACTACCCCAGTGTATGTGAAGGGTAGAGCATCAAGCCAAAGTAGATTGTTCTTTAGTCTCAAGGTCTAATGGAATTTGCCTCGCTGGGTTTTGGACTTACTCTGGACCTCCCTCCTTTCTTCTTTCCTGTTTCTTCCTTTGGGAACCGGAAAGTCTGTCCGGGGCCTGTCCCACCAGTTCATGTTTGGGAAGCACAGGGTATGTTCGGTTTTGCGGGCCAATAGCTGGAGAGGAATTGGCCTCAGGATGAATCTCGAGTCTCACCCATAATTGATTGGGATGATATTCATTTATTAATATTTATTTATGATTACTTTTTTCTAAAAATTTTAAGTAGGCTCCATGCCTAACATGGGGCTCAAACTCATGACCCCGAGATCAAGAGTTGCACACTCTGCCAAGTGAGTCAGCCAGGCACCCCTGATTTAGATGATATTTAGATGAGATTTTAGAGTTTAGGGTTGATGACATGTGAGACAGACATGGACTTGGGGGGGCCAAGGGTAGAATGTTGCGGACCAAATGCTTGTGTCCCCTCTAAATTCGTATGTTGAAACCCCAACCCCCAAGCCCCAAAGTGATGGTATTTGGAGGTGGGGCTTCTGGAAGGTGATTAGGTAAGGAGGGTGGAGCTCTCATGAGTGGGCCTGGTGTCCTCATGAAGACCGCAGAGATCTCCCTGTCCCCTTCTGCCACATGGGGACACAGCAAGAAGACCACAGTCAATGACTAGGAAGCCAGCTCTTACCAGACACTGAATCTGCTGGTGACTTGAGCAGAACTCAAGAACTCAAGAACTGCTCAGCCTCCAGAAATGGAAGAAATGAATTTCTGTTGTTTATGAGCCATCTGGCCTATGGTATTTTTGTTACAGCAGCCCGGACGTACCCGGACGTGAAGGTTGGAGAGAAGCGAAATGTCCATCAGTGGGAAAGGGATGAACTGTCTTCTATGACTGCAGCAATTAAAATGATTGAACGAACCCTCCACGTATAAACATAGGTAAACCTCACTGTTGTCTCATTTTGGGAGATTGCCACAGCCACCCCAACCGTCAGCAACCAGCACCCTGATCAGTCAGCAGCCCTCAACATTGAGGCAAGACCCTCTGCCAGCAAAAAGATTAAGACTTGCTGAAAACTCATCTTTTAGTAATAAAGGATCTTTGAATTAAGGTATGTACATTGTTTTTTTTTCTTTTTTAGATACAATGCTATCGCACAGTTAAAAGATTATAGTATACATATAACTTTTATACGCACTGGGGAAGCAAAAATTTAATTTGACTTGCTTTACTGTGATACTCGTTTTATTGTGGTGTTCTGGAACTAAACCCACAATATCTCCAAGGTATGACTATATAATTCTCTATAATTCTCACTTAGGTTGTAATGTTTAAACACAACGACCTGCTTATTTGTCAGGAAGGCATAAATCCAGGCACAGATCAAGAGGGAAGAAACAGTACAAAACTTATGTGTCTGCTGTCCCTACTTTATTTTATTGTGACTGCACCGTCAGGTAGTGAGAACAGCTAACTGGTGAGCTGGGGAAAAGGGACAGAGGTGAGGTTGAATAAGGGCTGTTAGAAGTCTTCATTGTAGCTGTCAGAGAGGGCTTTTCGGAAACGTGAAATTTGCGATGGGATTTGAGAAAGGAGTGAGGCAGCCTGGTGAACATAAGGAGAGGCTATCACGGAGAACTGGATGATGAACAGTTTGCTTGCGTAGTTAACCGTTTAGGAATGATTCATGTAAGCCATCATTTATGCACATAAATCACGAGGAAGACCTAAAATGTAGCAGAAAAACAAGCGGAAAGAGAGGAAATAGAATTTGCCTCCCAAGCCCATCACTCTCAATCCCCTACAGTTGAAGTAAAACAGGACACAGAAGGAAAAAAAAAAAAAAACCAAAAAAAAACCAGGCAGGAAAAGGACTCTGGAACCAGGAGAAGCCGTCTAGAGTGACTTGTATCTTCTTGGAAGGGGAAATAGGATCCCAGATGTACCGCTCCTTTTCCCATTCAGACTTTAAATGTGTTGTGGTTGGGGTTGCTTGGCACAGCACTGCCTTCTCCAAATAGAAAACCTGATCACAAGCTGCTCTCCCTCTATGACATGCCAGCTACCTTGTAACATGCTTTTCAGCTCGCTAGAAAAGGTTCTGCCCGTCACCAGCGAGGTAACTTGCCAACATTTGCCTGAGTAATTCACATCCGGTGATGGATTCCTCTACTAAATGTAAGGTCCTCGTGCAGTTAGGTGCTAATGTATTAGCATCTCGCCGGGTGGAGGCAATCAATGACTTACTGCGGTGCTCAATGAAAATACTATTACTCCAGCTATCACGGAGGACTCGACATTCATTCATTGAGTTACGTACCCGCAACACTCCAGAGTGTTACCAATCCGCTTAACAGCCTCGAGTCCTGGGTTTCCTGTTCCTATTTCTAAATTAGCATAAGGAAATACAAAATCATAAGCAAGGAGAATCCCCACAGGCGACTGCCAAGAGGTTCTGTGTTTATTTTGGCATACATAAGAAATGTTTTGAATTCCCCAAATGTGGAGCAGTTCTTTTCATTAAGAATGGGTGATTAAGTGAGGCTGGCCTAATAGCTCTGGTCTTTAAAGAGTGCCTCACTGCTAATGGGAGCACTGAAGCAGAAGTATAGTCAGTTCATGAATAAAATAGAGCAAAAGCCCCATTTGGGCTGGATATGGCAGAAACATAGGTATAAGGTTCTTCGTTTCCTTCTCTTGTCTATTACCTCCTCATGTGACCTGTGAGAAAGGGCAACATCAGAGAGAAAAAATCCATCCTGAAAGTCTGTCTTTTTCATCCTTCTCTTGGCCTCACTAGGTCCCACTTGGTGAGGTCTGTGGTACCCCTTTCTTGCTTTTTCATCATTAACTCTTGTTTGGCGGCCCCCCCCCCCCCACTTGCTAAGGGTAGCAAGTTAAAAAGCTGCATTTCGGGGTGCCTGGGTGGGTCAGTTGGTTAAGCTTCCGACTTTGGCTCGGGTCATGATCTCACAGCTCGGGGGTTCGAGCCCTGCATGGGGCTCTCTGCTGACAGCTGGGAGCCTGGAGCCTGCTTCAGGTTCTGTGTCTCCTTCTCTCTCTGCCCCTCTCCCACTCACACTCTGTCTCTTTCTCTCTCTCTCTCAAGAATAAACATTACCAAAAATTAAAAATAAAGCTGCATTTCTACATACCTGAGAGAGGTCAGAGTCCACATGAAGCTTGGGGTTCCAGCCAAACCGTGGTAGGCAACTGTAAGCTCATCGCCAGTGATTCTTAAAGCCACGCTAGGCCTAGGGTCCAACGGTGACAGTTGCTGTGGCAGAATTGGGTCTCTGCTCTTCACAGACCTGAGACGCAGAGCACCCGTCTGTGGAAGGACTGGACCCTTGGCACGTAGGGCATCTGTTTGGTGAAGAACTCTCCCACTCCTCTGAGATAGTGTTTCTTAAACCCTCTGGATCGACATTCACAGGAGATATATTTCACTTCACAATCTGTATTTGTCAGCGTCCAGCCGTCAGGCAAAAGGAAGCCAAAGGAAGTATTTCCACGGAGAGAACTTCGCATAGGGAATTGATTAAATAGGTGTTGGAGGGCTGAAAAAATTTAAAAGGAACACGGGAGTCACCATGTAAGTAGTAACTGCAAAAAGCAGCTAGTGCCTCTGGGGCCAGAGATCAGAGAGAGGAGAGGAGGGCGGGGTCCTCAGAACCCAGCAGCCAGGAGAAGGAACCTGGAGGTGGGACCCAGACCTCTGAAGAAAGGCACTGCCTGGTTCCTGTTGCTAAGTCTGGGGTGGAGGGAGAGGAGGCGCCAGGGGGCTGGTTCTGGAAGTGCAGCTAGAAGGTGGAGACAAGTTCTGGCCACCAGGCCAAAGGGCCACTGCTTGGGTGATGCTGACAGGAAGGGACCCTGGGAGCAGTGGCTTCCTCGTCTTCCAGCCTTGTGCTCTTCTACGAGTGCACCCACGAGCCAGAGACAAGGGAGAAATGTGGGTTGTGGGGTTCCAGCTCCCCCAGCATGGAACAGTGGAGAGAGGGTAGGTTTGAAGCCCACTGACCGCCATATAGTACTTGACCAGGGCTACACGTACATGCCCTGCATTTCATTTCCTATTGCTTCTGTTTGATTCTACCTTCCCTTACTGTATCTTACCCTCTCACATTTTAAGCATTAAAAAGCTGGACGGGATGCATTACCTTGATCTCATGACCTGCTAAACTTTGCTCTAGGTCCTAGTAGTGAGTTTGAGCGTCGGAATTCAACACCACTTACCTCCGAACTCCTTCCCTACCAAAAGTCACTTGGAGGAACTTCCTCGTGAGGCACCCTCGCACCGAATACATATGGGGGCCCATGATTTTCCATAGGCTTCAGGGATATTTATATGAGGAGGCTGTAAATGTCCTCTATAGCACTAGAGGGGGAGAGCCACACAGAGCAGGGTTAACTCAGGAGAAAAGTTAAGGAGCCAGCCATCAGTCAAAAATACTGTGCCCTTATATAAAAGGTATTATAAAGACGTATTGGAAATACCCATAAGTGTTCATCAGAGGAGCTTGAGATCTAGTAAGGAGAAAAGACAAAGGCCAATGGGTCAACAACCCACAAGCTGCCACTAGGCAGTATGGTTAGTTGTCAAAGCGGGTGGTATAGGCAGGAAACTTTGTGAGTGCAGAGTAGGCTGGTACTATTGTGAGCAGGAATGACCTGGAAAGATTTCATGTAGAGGCCTGAGTTCGTTTTTGCAGAATACAGGTCGAATTTAGCATCCCAGGTGAAGAGAACATTAGACAGAACGAGGTGAGGAAGGACCCAGCAAACTTGGGGCAGGAGTGGAGCTTGGGGATCAGAACTAGTCAGGGAAATCTGTGTGTCAACCAGAACTGAGAGATGAAACCCTATAAATGGAGAGGGTAGGATTGAATGTTGGGAACTATTGCCACAATGAAGGAGCAGGGGGAAGAGCTGGTGAGCACACTGAAGTATGCTTTCAGGAGAACCAAGGTCATGAACCACTAAGGAAGGTGGCCAGCAAAGTCAAATGCTATAGCAGCCAAGACTGAGAACTGAGGGAAAATGCCTGACTTTGAACCAGATGTGCTAAGTCTCCGGGTTTTGTTGTTTTTTTTTTTTTTTTTTCAATTTATTTAAAAAATTTTTTTAAAAGTCTTTATCTTTTATTTTTTTTTAACATTTATTTATTTTTGAGACAGAGAGAGACAGAGCATGAATGGGGGAGGGACACAGAGAGAGGGAGACACAGAATCGGAAGCAGGCTCCAGGCTCTGAGCCATCAGCCCAAGCCTGATGCGGGGCTCGAACTCACGGACCGCGAGATCGTGACCTGAGCCGAAGTCGGATGCTCAACCGACTGAGCCACCCAGGCGCCCCTAAAAAAAAAGTCTTGATCTTTTAAAGAGAGAGAGCATGCTAGTGGGGGAGAGGGGCTGAGAGGAAGAGAGAGAGAATCTTAAGCAGGCTCCATGCTTAGCGAGGGCCCAATGGAAGATTAGTCCCCACAACCCTGGCTGGGATCATCCACCTGAGCTGAAATCAAGAGTTCAACGCTCAACTGATTGAGCCACCCAGCTGCCCCAGATGTGCTAAGTGTCTTTACTGAGGCTCAGGACCATATTGTCTGTAGATTAACCCGTTAGTACTTGCAGATTTGCACAGTGTGTTTATTACCTGAAATGATCCAAAGTCTCCAGTGAAAACAACAAACCATTTTTGTCAGTCCTCACTCCTTGCCGGCTCCATAGCCACGCTAGGTTTCCTAAGGCCATGCTTCAGTTGCCCATGGTCTTCCTTGGTGTGACCACCCTCCCTCAGCTTTACTTGAAGGCAGCTGTTGCGTTTCACTGCTGTCATCATTCTCCTTCAGTGGCTTGTCCCGCCGAGCTGTGTCTCTGGGGTCCCGACTTCTCCCAAACAAGGAGGGTTATGCATTGGGACCTTGCATTTGCAGACTTCTTCATGGCTGTAGATTGCACTACAACCCTGGCCAGCTGCCTTGTAAATGCAAGTGACTGGTCACAAGGGAAACCAGATGAGGGCCAGATGGGTCAAGTGAGCCTATCATCCCTACTACAAAAACATGTGTTCTGCCGATAGCAGATCAGTATTATCTTCTCCGGGAGTAAAGGAGACTCTATTTATATGCTCATTATATATGCAGAGTTGTGATCAAATTGCTAGAGGTGACAAGTCCAGGTGTTGCTTCTATAAGGATGTCATTGCTATCAAGTATTAACTCAGATTTTGTTCTGGGTTTTATTGCGTGAATGCTATCATTTCTTCTGCATAATGTAAGCTACGATCATGGAGACCTGAATTTCTTTTCTTTCTTTCAGACAGCAAATCCCAGCCACGATCAATTGCTTCCTCATTTATACTAAGTAGTTCTCATAATTGAACCCACTATGCAGGTAGCCTGGACAGGTCATGTGTATAAGCCTTTTTTTTTTTTTTTTTTAATGTAAATCCAAGTTAGTTAACATACACTGTAATAATGACTTCAGGAATAGAATTTGGTAATTCATCACCTACATATGACACCCAGTGCTCATCCCAGCAAGTGCCATTCTTAATGCCCATCGCCCATTCAGCCCATCTGCCCCCACCCAACACCCTTCTAGCAACCCTCAGTTTGTTCTCTGTGTTTAAGGGCCTCTTATGGTTTGTCTCCCTCTCTGTTTTTATCTTATTTTTGCTTCCCTCCCCCTATGTTCATCTGTTTTGTTTCTTAAATTCCACATATGAATGAAATCATATATTTGTCTTTCTCTGACTTACTTCTTTTTTTTTTTCAACGTTTTTATTTATTTTTGGGACAGAGAGAGACAGAGCATGAACGGGGGAGGGGCAGAGAGAGAGGGAGACACAGAATCGGAAACAGGCTCCAGGCTCCGAGCCATCAGCCCAGAGCCTGACGCAGGGCTCGAACTCACGGACCGCGAGATCGTGACCTGGCTGAAGTCGGACGCTTAACCGACTGCGCCACCCAGGCGCCCTGCTCTCTGACTTATTTCACTTAGCATAATACACTGTAGCTCCAGCCATGTTGTTGCAAATGGCAAGATTTCATTCTTTTTGATCACCGAGTAATATTCCATTGTGTATATATATCACATCTTCTTTACGCATTCATGAGTTGATGGACATTTGGGCTCTTTCCATACTTTGGCTATCGTCCATAGTGCTGCTATCGACATTGGGGTACGTGCCCCTTTGAATCAGCACTCCTGTATCCATTGGATAAATACCTAGGAGGGCAATTGCTGGGTCGTAGGGTAGTTCTATTTTTAATTTTTTTGAAGAACCTCTATCCTGTTTTCCAGAGTGGCTGCACCAGTTTGCATTCCCACCAGCAGTGCAAGAGGGTTCCTCTTTCGCCGCACCCTCGCCAACATCTGTTGTTGCCTGAATTGTTAATTTTAGGCATTCTCACAGGTGTGAGGGGGTATCTTATTGTGGTTTTGATTTGTATTTCTCTGATGATGAGTGACGTTGAGCATCTTTTCATGTGTCTGTTAGACATCTGGATGTCTTCTTTGGAAAAGTGTCTATTCATGTCTCTTGCCCATTTCTTCACTGGATTATGTGTTTTTGGTTGTTGAGTTTGGTAAGTTTTTTTAAATAGATTTTGGATACTAAGCCTTTATCTGATATGTCATTTGCAAATATCTTCTCCCATTCTGTCGGTTGCCTTTTAGTTTCGCTGATTGTTTCCTCCGCTGTGCAGAAGCTTTTTATCGTGTTGAGGCCCCAACAGTTCATTTTTGCTTCTGTTTCTGCACAAGCCTCATATTTACTGAGTATACTGTGGACCGAATCAAGTAGAATATGCAGATATCTACTGTGTTGCAACATATGCTTTTAATAGCTGGCACCAGAGTTCCTCTTGGGGAAAATATTTTGTGTAGGAAAACACTTTGATAAACAATTTAGGAGTGGAAGGTGGTCCAGAAGGTACAGATTAGGAGAAAGAGATAACTAAAAGTACTGTATAAAGAGAGAAAAGAGGAAGGGAGAGGGATGGGACCAGGAAGATGTTGATTAGTGGGGAGTTGCAGCTTATGCTGAGAAAGGATGGGGGAGGGGTTGGTGGATACCAATGCCATTGTGATACTGAAGGCCTTTCAAGACCATGGACTTCTAACTTTAGGCTATTTACATCCTTCATTTAAATCCCTTTAGTTGCGGGGCGCCTGGGTGGCTCAGTCGGTTAAGTGGCCGACTTCGGCTCAGGTCATGATCTCACGGTCTGTGAGTTCAAGCCCCGCGTTGGGCTCTGTGCTGACAGCTCAGAGCCTGGAGCCTGTTTCAGATTCTGTGTCTCCCTCTCTCTGACCCTCCCCCATTCATGCTCTGTCTCTCTCTGTCTCAAAAATAAATAAAAAAACAAAAAAACCCTTTAGTTGCTCCAAACCTTCAGAGGAGCCTGCTACACACACACAGCCAAAGAAAAGTGTTTGATTTCCACACTGGGTCAGCAGGAGAGAAGAGTTGCAGAAGGCGAGATGTGAGAGAGTCCCTGTGTTCAGAGGAAGCGAGAACTCAGAGCCAGAAGTGACCCTGTGATGGTAAGTTACTCTGCCCCCCACGGGGGATGTACAATCTTGGAGAAGACACTGGCCTTTCCACAGGAGGTGGAAAAGGGACTTGAGGCAATCTCAACAAGATTTTTGTGGACAAGGTGACCCCGACTGAGAACTGGATGATATACACAGTAGCTTGCTATTTTCAATCATAATTTCTCAAGAGACGTTTATTGCTAGAAAACGACAGGGTCAGTAATTTCCCCCATTTACTTAAATCTCTAGGTCTCATTTTCCTCATTTGCAAAAGCTGGAGATTGGATGCAGAATATCTCTGTGGTCGCTATTAGAGTCTACCGCTGTAATAACAATCTTACAGAGGCAGAGAACAAATTGGTGGTTGCCAGAGGTGGGGGCGGGGGTGCAAAATGGGTGAAGGGGGTCACCGAGTACGAATTTTGTTATAAAATAATTCCTGGGGATGTAACTTACAGCAGGACTAGTTAATGGCACTGTGTTGTCTATTTGAAAGTTGCGAAGGCAGATCTTAAAAAAAATATTCTTATGTTCTTTTTTGGAGGTACATTCACACACAGTGAAATGCACGCATTTCATTACCTGCACCATTCCATGAGTTTTGACAAATGCACAGACCTCTGTAACCCAAACGCTAAGCATGATACACATCTTCTCCATCACCGCGGAAAATTCCCTCTTCAGTGGAGCCTGGGCGATTCGGTCTGTTGAGCATCTGACTCTTGATTTTGGCTCACGGGTCAGGAGATCGAGCCCCACCTCCGGCTCCGCACCGAGCGGGCGCCTGCTCAAGATTCCCTCTCCCTTTCTGTCTCTGCCGCGCACCCCCCCCCCCCCGCCTTCCCC